TGATATTAATTTAAGAGTTAATTTTGAGTATCATAGTAATAATTTTGCAACTTTTATAGTTATATTTTCACTACTTTAAATTCAACAGCAACATTTGATAGTAACATTACAAACATTATTAATACTAATAATTCACTAATAGTTGTAACAATGATTTTTAATGGAACGAAATACCCAACGATACTATTTAAACGTTGATTTTATAATATCAAACCAGCAACATTTCGCTATCAAGTTAAATTTAATATTATTTTATTAGTGGCTGCAACAGATGAAAAAAGAAAACGATATAAAAATATTTCAACAATTCGATGGTTGCGTAACTTTGACGAAGCCGCACAATGCAGATCTAGGGGAATCGAGACAAGTTCGCGGAGAGACCTATAATCCGTTTCGCAATTTCCAGTTTTGAATTCTCCTGTAGCAACAGGTACTAACTAAATTACAAACTCGATTGTTCTGAACGTTAGTTAAGACTGGCAAGTTCTCTTAGACCCCGGGGCATTCTACAGATGATCTAACGCGAATAGAATCTTCGGAGAATAGTTGCAGGCTATACAGGCTAGTCGAGAGCAACTTCAGTGTTCGGATAACATTCTTCTTCAACATTCTTCGATGAATTTTGATCAAGGATTCAAACTTCTGACGCTTGGACTCGTTCCTTCCTTTTTTTCTGGCAACACGTGCAGAATAAACATGTCAATTAATACACTTGCATTTTAATTAATACGTACACGTGTAATCAGTATATCCATGTTTTCATCTTTATTGTTATTTAATCTACGATTTAATTTTCATGCACAGGCGCGCTCGTATCAATATATTTATGTTTGTGCTATCGTGGTGACAAGTTTATTTATATAATGGAACTATATATATATATATATATATAAATCTCAAATTTAGCAAAGATTTAAGAAATTTAATACATAATAATTTAATTCAATGTAATTATTTATATTTAATTAAATTAAATTATTATATCTCAAATTTATTAAATTCATGCCGATTTATGTTTATATATAATAATATTACGCTTATATATAATAATATATTACAAAATAATTTTATATATATTATTGTGTTATTGTATATTTAGAAAATTTGGGGCTGGGAAATTGCAGTGAAATATTCAAAGTATAATATCCTTCAT